TAGGGGATCGGGGGGCCGGAGGCCTACATCGCCACTCAGGGGCCACTGCCCAACACCGTGCTGGACTTCTGGAGGATGATCTGGGAGTACAAGGTCGCGGTGAGTGAATCTGCTGCCACAGAGAGACTCTGTCAATGTGGATTCTCTGCTTTAACCATAAAAGCTTCGATTCACAGACTCAAACAATTTCTTCACTCGCTTTCCTCTGCAGAAAAAGTGTGAGCGTTACTTCCCGCAGTTTGGAGATGAGCCTGTGACGTTTGGCCCCTTCAGGATCTCCTGTGTGAGTACACATTACACTTCCCAGCTTGCACCTCTCTCTCGTCACATGACATCAAAAGAAACGTGTTGAGCCTGCGGCCGTAGCGACAGATGTTATTGTTCACATGAAATGCGTCCACACTGGAACTCGATGTGGCTTAAATCTGATTGTTCTCAGCCAGTCGATGATGGTGTAAACAGCTGAAGCGCATTAAATTTGACATCTTCAAATGGGATCTGAACTTCATATGCAGGAATAAGACGTATCTGTTTTTCCCCCAGTGTGCCTTCAGCTTGGCCAGCAGTCAGCTTTACTGTAATTTTACATCAGTACAGATATTAGGCATGATATGTTTGCAGATTTTTTAAATATGAATCTTTTTTGTTTGTTACCAGCTTAAGTCCCAGTTATGTGCTTTCAGGATTCATGTTTGAGATTTGCTCACATCACAGAAAACACAAACTGTATCAAATGCATCAAGCTGCTGGTCCATGCAGATCTGAATAAGTTAATAACAACTGTTCTTAACTAACCTAAGAACTGTTCATCCGTATTCAGACTGTCTGATATGGGCTTCGTCTTTTTTTTTTTTTCAGGAGTCTGAGCAGCCAAGGACAGATTATTTTATCCGCACACTCGCAGTGGAGTTTGATCACGTGAGTCTGTCTGTCTGTCTGTCTGTCTCTCTCTCTGTCTGTCTGTCTGTCTGTCTGTCTGTCTCTCTGTCTGTCTGTCTGTCTGTCTGTCTATCTGTCTGTCGCAGCAGGACAGTTTTTTAACCATCAGTCTGTTTCTCTCTGGTCTGTCAGGAAACCCGGCGAGTGACACAGTTTCATTACGTGAACTGGCCCGATCACGACGTCCCGTCATCGTTCGATTCAATATTGGACATGATTGCTCTGATGAGGGAATATCAGGAGCATGTCGACGTTCCCATCTGTGTCCACTGCAGGTATGAGATCTGCTCATCCTGACCTCACGTCTGATCTTCAGTCCCATGAGCCTCGAGCAGCAGCTCAAACTGACGCCTCGATCTTCTCCTGTCTCTGGCTTCATCTTGATGGCTAATCATCACGATGAATGAGAGGCTGAGGTTCAGGTTTAGTCTGGGGTTTATGGGTTAGAAGTCTTTTATTTAGCATGAGCCTCTGAGTTTGTGCCATGTTTGTTTTGCTGTGCTCAGTGAATGGATGACCGAGGGCTTGTGCTGATGGTGTGTGATGGAAGATAGCGGGGCACCAGTGATGCTGCAGGGCCTTCTGATCGTTTAACATGTTTACTAGTTCATATGAAACGACGGTTAGTGTGTAATATCAGCGTGTGTTCTGACTGCATATATGTGCTGTTGTACATGTGTTGACAGTGCCGGCTGTGGACGCACAGGAGCCATCTGTGCAATCGACTATACATGGAACCTCCTGAAAGCTGGGGTAACAGACA